CTGAATCTGTTTCCTGCAAAACAAAGAAGAATCTTTCACTTAGAGTCTAGACAGGGAACAGATTTCCACAGGTGGTTTGAATGAAGATCTTCAGTGAGGGATGTTTATGTACAGGAAGAATAGGGTTGGAAGGAACATGAATGGAGAATGACAGCATCAGGAAGCCTTTCTACTGCTAGGCCTGAGGGATGCAAGGAGGAAATGAAAGAAAGTGAAGCCACCAAAGTGGATTAATAATGCAGGAAGCTATTCCCAGAAATGAAGTGCAGAAGTCAAGGGAGTAAACAAGAAGTGCCCCACCTCTCTCCTCACCCTCAGTTCCTCCAATTCCTCCCTTTGACCCAGAAAACTGGAAAAAAGCCCAGGTATTGCAAGCTGGAAGGACCAGCTTCCTGGCACAAGTCAGGGAAGAAAAGGGTGGATAATAACTGGATTGAGGGAGACAGCAATTAGAAAAGAATCATCATAGTCTTGTACTAGACAGTTTCCAAGGATTCATCGTGCTTTCATTGTCCTTAATTTTTTTAAGAGAGAGAGAGAGAGAGAGAGAGAGAGAGAGAGAGAGAGAGAGAATTTTTTTAATATTTATTTTTCAGTTTTCGGTGGACACAACATCTTTATTTTTTTAGGTGGTGCTGATGATTGAACCCAGCGCCCCACGCATGTCAGGCGAGCGCGTTACCACTTGAGAAACATCTCCTTAATTTTTAAATGGATAATTTTTTCAGTTTTTAAACATATGCTCTTCTGTAAAACATTTTGGTACTGGCATAAAAACAAACACATAGATCAGTGGGCCAGAATAGAGGACAGAAACAAACCCCATAGCTACAGTCATCTGACTATTGATGAAAGTGCCAAAACATGCATTGGTGAAAAGACAGCCTCTTTAACAAATGATTCTGGGAAAGTATGTATCCATATGTAGAAGATTGATATCCATAACAATTAATAAATGGGCAAATAATTTTTTTCCAGACAATTAACCACTGAGCCACATCCCCAGCCCTATTTTATATTTTATTTAGAGACAGGGTCTCACTGAGTTGCTTAGCACCTCGCTTTTGCTGAGGGTGGCTCTGGACTATGATTCTCCTGCCTCAACTTCCCTAGCCACAGGTGTGTGCCACTGTGCCAAGCTAAGGAGACACATTTCTTATCTTTTGACTGGTACAAAAGTCAACTCAAATGGATCAAAGACTTCACTATAAGAATTTTTTTCTGTTAAAAGAAAAAATGGGGGAAACATTTTAATGTGTATGTGCAGGCAAATCTTCCTGAATAAGATCACCTATAGTTCAGAAAATAAGAAAAAGAATCAATAAATGGGATGGCATCAAATTGAAAAACTCTGCACAGCAAAGAAAACAATAAACTGAGTGAAGAAACAACAATAGAATGAGAGAAAATCCTTGTAAGCTACTCCTCTGACAGAGGACTAAGATCCAGAATATATGAAAAACTCAAAAACCTCAAATTAAAAAAAAATCAATAAATTGGCAAATGAATTGAACAGACACTTCTCAAAAGAAGAAATACAAATGGCGAATAACTATATAAAAATATTCAACAATTTTGGTGATCAGGGAAATGCAAATCAAAACTACACTGAAATTCTATCTCATTCCAGCTAGAATGACAAGTATTAAGGATGCAAATAGCAATAAATGCTGATGAGGATTCAGGGTAAAAAAGAACTCTTACACACTAAGGTTAATTATATAAATTAGAAAAGCCACTAATCATTATGGGGGTTCTCCAAAAAGCCAAAATTAAGTCTATCATGTAATTATATTTTACCACTCCATATTTATCTAGAATTAAAAGCAACATATTTTAGAGATGCATGCATGTCCATGATTATTTCAGCAAAATTCACAGTAACCAAGTTATGGAATCAGCCTAAGTATCTGTCCTCAGATGGATAGATAAAGAAAATTTGCTATACCTATATAATGGAGTTTTATTCTGCCATAAAGAAGAGTGCAATGATGTCATTTGCAAGAAAATTGGTGGAACTACAGACCATTATGATGAGCAAAATAAGTCAAACTCATAGACAAAAGTATCATGTTTTTTCTCATATGTGCAAGCTAGAAGGATTTAAAAAAAGACTATGAAATTAGAAGAGAGATTAACAGAGTAGAGAAAGAGGATGGGGGGCAGATAAAGGGCAGAGGAGATATTGGTTACTAAAATTAATTGAATTGTGATTTTATATATGCATAATTATGCCACAGTAAAATACATCATTCTGTATAATTAATATKCACTAATAAAAACTAAACATTAAAAATGTTCCTCTGTTTATACTCTTATAAAGATAGAAAATGACAATTTCTTGAGGTTAGTTTAAATATACATATGCACAGAAAACATGTTCTTATAAGATATACTGAATATTGTTGGCAAGTGAACCCTGGGATGCTATTCATTTTTAATTTGATTAATATATGAAGTAATATAGCCTTCCTCTGTTTCTCTATATTTAAAAAAATGGTATTATCTGCATTTTGAGTAAATCTGTCTTGCTGGCTATCATGTGGGTCACAGTCTGTTTTTGCAGAGCTCCAGAAAATATTTCTTATTGGAATTTTGTGGTACAATTAGGCCACTGATGAGGATTTTAAATTCTTGCATTGTTGAGAGACAGGATCATGTGTAGACAAGTTACAGATCATATTAATCTATTACTAATKGCAAAAAATGAGTAATTCAAAAAGACAAGCCCATGTTTCCCAGAACAATTCTGTAAATTAGACATGTAATTTCAAAGCACAGTTCCTGAGTACTTATTAGAAATGCAAATTATCTGGCCCCACCCTGGCTTCCTGAATCAGAAACTAGGAGATGGAGGGTAGCATTCTGCAGGTTAAAAAGTCCTGGGTAACTGCTGTTATTATTAAAGTTTGAGATCATAAAACTAAACATTTTATCAATTACTATATTGATAGAGTAAATTGTAATTCTGTTACTTTGATATTCAATGTTGCAACTTTGTTAACTTCTTGCTTCTTTTTAAAGGCGAATGTCTCATTTTTCTCTTTATTGACCCATCATCCATCAGTTCAAATGGAGATTATTAATAAGCACAATGATCTTAGGAGGATGACAAATCCTAGAGCTAGCAATATGCTTAAAATGGTAAGCCTATATTGTCAATGAATCATTACAATCAGCATTTAGCCATTAAACAATGGACATTAAACCAGGACCTATAGTTTTAAAATAATCTGTTTATATTACTGGATAGTTGTCACCTCAGTGTCTGGAACTGGCCATTAAATATAAAATTTTGAACTGAAAAACAAAAGTTAATTCTATAAGCAAGGATGGGGGTAGTTAATGGGTAGATGATATTCAAGAAACCTTACAGATTAAATAAAATGAATAGACACCAAACTGCAAATGAAATCTTAGGATCTATAATAAAATATGGTGAATAGGTTTATAAATTGAAAGTCTTGCTCTTTTCTGCTATGATTAGTTCTTAAGTTATATAATATATATGTATTTAGACAGTACACTGATCAAAGGGTCATATGAAGATATTTATTAGCATGATAGAATGCTTATACCAAAATACAACAAAGCAGGAGATATTTATACACATAAAGAATATCAGGAGGATATGATGGTTGGTTTCAGGCTAGTTATTTAATCTGTAAGTTCCTCAAATTTCTTTCTAGTAGTGGAATTAACTCAAATTTTGCTGTACCTTTGTGAGAAAAAATAGAAATGATATTAATGTAAATAAAAAGCCACGTATGTATGAGTACTTAACAAAAATTAGTTTTTTCTTTTTCTTCTAAATTCAAGTATTCAAAGTGTTATCATATGAAAAATAGATTTGTTGGGACAGATCAAATGTCTTTGGAAGTATATATAGCTAGGTAAGTTTTTTAAACCAAAACTAGCAATTTGCTACAATAATCTGTCTTAGAAGGCATATATTTCATTTACAGGCTAAATACTATCCTTTACAGGAGTTTTCCCTTTTTTAAAATATTTTTTTAGTTGTAAATGAACACAATATCTTTATTTTATTTATTTATTTTTTATGTGGTGCTGAGGATCTAATCCAGTGCCTCACACTAGGCAAGTGCTCTACCACTAAGCCACAACCCCAGCCCTAGAGGAGTTTTCAATGACAAATAAGAAATAAAATCTGTTCCCTCTCTAATTCACTCCAATTCTGAGATGCTATGAAAGTTGGTGCTCAATCTGGATTTCAGGAAGGAATTTTTCTACTGAGTCTTTCTTTTCTAAGTAGTTCTTTTGTGCCGGGTGCAAGGAATAAATACCTCAGGACTCTAATAAGTAACTGTTGTTGCCTTCTCAAAGATATAAGATAACTTTGCTCTATTGTAAACAGGTCTTTTCTCATCCTACTCTGAAAAATTATTTCTTCTTCAAAAGCAATCTCTAGGAATCTTTGCTTAACTTGTCAGAATTATAATAAAATATTTATTTATATTGATTTTCCTAGATTTTTTGAAATTTTAGGATATGGGATAGAGTTATCTTTATATGGGATAGAGTTTATCTTTTCCTTCACAACTGTGAAGTATAACAGACTTTTCTAATGTTGAATGTAGCATCTGAGAGTATATTAGTCTATGAAAACTATTACATTTATAGTACCAATTACAGGGGCCAAACAGCACATGCTTAGATCTCAGTTCTTGTTAGTTAGATATAATCATTAAAAAAATGTTTTGTCCTTCTAAAAGATTATACCCACAGTATTAAAATGTTTATTGTGCTTCTGGAACACTAGATGACTATTTTTCCCAAAATATTTTATTCTATGATCCCCAGATAGATATATTGTGGTAACTCAATAATTTAGGAAGCAAGAAATGTGTCTTTTATTAGAATCGGGGGAAAATGAGAAATGATAGAAAATGATTCTTCAGACAGGTGTTTGTTTTCAACATAGTCATATACTTAACTATTATATTGTGAAATCATCCTATTTTAACTTGTAAATGTTTGTCATGTGTTTTGAGAACTGGAATGCTGAAGTTGCCAAGAATGCTGAAAAGTGGGCAAACAGGTGCACCTTGTCTCACAGCTCAAGAAGTCAACGAAAAGTTAGTTGTAAGTCAAACCTCTAATGACTAATGTGGTGGCATTTTTTTAAATTTTTTAGTTATAGGTGGATGCAATATCTTTATCTTACTTATATGTGGTGCTGAGAATCAAACCCAGTGCCTCACGCATATTAGGTGAGCCCTCTAACTCTGAGTCACAACACCAGATCCATGTGGTGGCATTTTTAAAAGCTAAAGATTAATTAACTATGAACCAGCATGGTAGTATATGCCTCTAATCCCAGAGCTCCAGAGTCTAAAGCAGGACAATCCAGAGTTCAAAGCCAGCCTCAGCAATGGCCAAGCACTAAGCAACTCAGAGAGACCTTGTCTAAATGAAATACAAAATAGGGCTGGGGATGTAGAGGTCCAGTGTCCTTGAGTTCAATTCCCAGGACTCTCTCTCCCACCCCTACCCTGCCTGCCCCCCAAAAAAAGATTAACTATGAATGAGGAAGAGAATAAGTTTGGGAATGAAGGACTTGCTTTTATATATATATAAAATCAGTTTTTGTCTTCTCATCCACCCTCACACTCATTTATTTACTTCCAGTCTTTTCTTTTTCAAGACTCGTCCTAAAATGACTTTATTCCTGCTGCTTCACACCAGATATTTAGATTTTTGTCTGAGAAGCAGTGAAAAGCAAAAGTTAGGACAAAAGAGAACAATTTTAAATATTTTTTGGAACTTAAGTCCACTTAGATATTAATCGTCCATGGTAACCATATGCAAAGTTTTATTCTTCAAAATCTAAAAATCTCCCACTGAGAATATTATGTCCAAACCCATCAGACCATGAGCTCCTGGTGAAAATTATTACTTTATTTTTATAAGGAGTATTTTATTATTACCACTTAGGATAATTTTCCAGAGCATAAGTGAAAATCAGTTTAATAGTGAATTAATTCTCTACCTGTGTTCCAAGATCTTCACTCTSTTCCATTCTACCTGACAACTCTACAATTTGTCTTATATCTTTTACTAAAATCTGTTCAGCCTACTGATTACTCCAAACATGGCCTTGTCACTCCTGTGTCCATGACTTTAAGTTCATCATTTACCCACTAGACACTACATCTGAGCTCTGATCAATTTGCTGTTTGCTTCATGTGTGCACCTTATTTCCCCACCTTAAGAGCCAAAGTACAAAAGTCATGTTTGTAATTTCCTCAATATCCCCTACATGTATGTTATGAAGACATGAGGGAAAATTCTCAATAATTGACAAAACATTGAGTTTATCGATATTGCCAAAATCATATCTGTTATCTTATCTCTCTAGTTCCTTCCAATTCTGAGACTCTGTGAAAGTTGGTGCTAAATCTAGTTTATAGGAAGGAATTTTTCTGCTGAGTTTTTTTCCAGAAAGAAAGCTACATAATCAGTTTGAAAACAAAGCATTAATTACATTTTTAAAAGATCTATTCATTCATGGGAAGGAGGAAAAGCAAGTGATTCCAAGTCACAGAGCAATGCTTTTGAAGTTGATACTGGATTTCTGCCACAAATCAGTCAGTTGAAGATAACTGTACATGAATGAGAAGCAATATTGACCTTGGAAACTAAAATATTTTAATAATTTTCAATGAGAAATATTTACAAGTACTGATTTAACTACTGGTTCATTATCTTTTCTAATTTTTAGTTGCTAATTGTGGAGAGAATTTATTCATGTCCAGTGCTCCCTTACCATGGTCACATATAATCCAAGTTTTTTATGATGAAGTTAAAAATTTTAAATATGGAGTTGGAGATATTCGATCAAATTCTAAAACTGGTCATTATACCCAGGTAAAAACATAATGCCAAAACCTTAATGCTTCTCTTTCTTCTATCATCCCAAACTAATCTTTTTCCTCAGTTTTGCCTGGAGATGCCACATACATCTGACCTATGGTTATCTGAGTTTGTGTATGAAAACTACCCTGCTTTRTGAAGCATACATTACCCATCAATAGCCACTATTTCTAGGATATTTTCAAACACCTATGTGCTTTTTGTGATTTTGGATTTACCACAATAGAGTATTTCAAATAATGGCCATAGGAGTAAAGTAATAAAATTATATCAGTTATATTTAGGCAACATTAAATTATCTTGAAGCAAAGAAACAAAAGCTTTGARCTATTTTCACTGAGCCAGTCACAGCTTGAAATGCTAAAGAGAAAATGATAATCATGAAGTATGTACTTGTATGCATACAAAGTATTTTTAATAGTATTGAATAAGTAATTTTTGTATTTTTGTGACACTTTTTTGTGAAAATTGATATATCTGCAGAAAGGCACAAGGTTGACATGATTTATTATTGTTTTTCCCTGCAAAACTTGAATTGCAGTTTGCTACTTTTCCTGGTGGCCTGATACCCACTTGCCCACTTCTTTACTAATCACGGGGTGGTTCAACAGTTTTAACAAATGTATCATGGATGTATAAATCTTCCTGTAACTTTAAATGAGGCTCTATAATTGAAAGGAATTTTTTTAAAACAGTAATCATCCAGTTTTAGATGGAAATGTTGGAAATTGGAAGCCAATATTTTTCAGCTTTTAAAATTCTCTTCATTGATAACTTTTAATCAGCAATTAAGAAACAAAATGTCATATAATGTGAACACTATCAATTTAATCTAAATGTTTTTATTTTAAACTTTTCTCCTGCAGCTTGTTTGGGCCACTTCCCACGAGATTGGTTGTGCCTTAGCCCACTGTCCTCACAAGCACCTCTCCTATTTCTACGTTTGTCATTATTGCCCAGAGTAAGTACTGCACAGAGGATCTTTTTTGGCCTATGGTAGGTCAATGGTCTGCACTTGGGCTATGAATCAACTCCTTTTGTCAATCTGAGCTTATAAGGTAGCTACATAAAGACATTGAGCATGGATTTGGAAGAAAGGGGAGCATTGGAAAAGACAAGAAACAAGCAGTATGTTCTAAGGGGTGATAAAACCAGGGAGCTGATGGCATCATGCCTACAGCATGGGCTCTGTGGACCATCAGACTCAAGGACAAACATTGGCATGGTTACTTGCTAGCTGTGTGGGCTTCAGTTCACCAAAAACTTAATAACCTGGAGCTCCTTTCCACTTAGCTATAAAGAGGCAGTAGCAATGTATCCAGGGATTTTTATTAGGATTAAATATGATAAGTCATAATAAGTGCCTGGCATAGTTGACATTAATAAATTTGCAATGAAAGAAAAATCATCTAATAAAGAAGCAAGAGATATTTGCTCCGATTCTTAGGAACTTCACTGTAAATTTGTCCTCTGTTTGTATGCCCTTTGTCTATTGGAAAGGTGGTCCAATTCTGACTCTTTTCTTCTACATATATTTAAATCCTGAATAATTTATCTTCAATTTATTTTTATGGCTCCTGCCTTCAGAAATCTTTCTCTTCCTTTTGTGAGTTCCTGTGACTGTTGTGTAGTTCACACACACCGTAAAATCTCGAATTCCTTAATGTTGTCACTAATCCATTCCTCCAAATATTTCTTTGCCAGGGGAAACAATATAAATACAAAGAAGACCCCATATAAAAAAGGAAAACCATGTGGGGACTGCCCTAATCACTGTGATAATGGGCTTTGCAGTAAGTCATTTATGTTCTTTATCAAATGATGTTTCCATGTACTCTGATCTTATATGGAAGACAGGCTGAGATTTCACCCTGATACCAGCATGTCCCCATCCTGCTTCTGGGCCCTCCTTTTCCTACTTCAGTCCTTYTGCTCTTGATAACAAACACAGAATTAAAAGTTCTGGTGGTAAGTGCAGCTGCTATTTCAGGATGAAACTAACTGAAGTAAGATAAAAATAGTCATGCAGGCCTGGCATAGTGGTGCACACCTCTAATCCCAGTGGTTGGGGAGGCTGAAACAGGAGGATGGTGAATTCAGAGCCAGCCTCAGTAACTAAGCCCTAAGCAACTCAGTGAGACCTTGTTTCTAAATAAAATATAAAAAAAGGCTGGGGATGTGACTTAGTATTTAAGTGCCCCAGGTTCAATCCCTGTATAAAAAAAATAGTAATGCAAAACAAATTTAAGCCATGCCAAAGTGGAGTTGAATTTTCCATTTAGCTCCCTTTAGAATCTTCAACTTGTCTTTAGTTAAGGAAGGGAAAAACAGATGTTTAGAAACTAACTGACTATAAAAAGTTAGGTAGGGTCAGGCTCAATTTGCTCCTACCCTTAATAAAAATCAGGAAATATAGGAAAAGAAAAAAATGGTTCATCTCTAGCAACCATACATCATGGGAATCAGGCACCTGAAAAAGAATACTGGTCTATTTTAAACACATATGTTAAAGGTTCCAGCAAGTTTTCTACTACTCCCCCAAAACTACACACACACACACACAGCAGAATCACTGCTAGTCTGGGCTACTTTTCTTTTGTTTGGTTGCTACTCCACACCTGTGTGTTGTTGCCTGAAACATGAGCTGCTTTTATGCTCCTACTTACAACCCTTGCTCTTTTCTATCATTTCTCTGTTGTACAAACTTATAAAACAACACACATACACTCACACATGCATGTGCTGGGATAATATATTGAGAAATAAATTTATTTCTGTTACTGTACACTTTATTCAAACAGTGTAGAAAATTTCTTTGTTTTCTTAAAGCTCTATGTTTTGAGAATTCTATATCTGCTACATCATGTATGTCTATTAAAATAATTTAAGCSTATTTTCCCTTATTTATATAAGGAGAATTAAAGAAATGAACAATTACAGAAAAAGTGGGTTTTTCTTGAGATGATACAGTTTGGGGAAAGTAATACTATAGACTAAGAAACACCATTTTGTCTTTTGTTTCATTTTAGCCAATCCCAGCAAGTATATTGATAGGTTCTTCAAGTGTGCGATTTAGGCAAAGAATTCGGGTGTGATATAAACATCATAAAAGAAAACTGCAAAGCTACCTGCAGATGCTCTTCTGAGATAAAATAATAGCATGGCAAYATTTCTTCTCAAGAGTAAAGTGACTCCAATTAAATCACTGCAAAATTCCATTGTCTTTTTCTTAATGAGTATAGTTTTGAAGCTGTGTTTTATACAATACATCCTAATACCTTCACCCATTGTATTTGTTAATACAAGAATAAGGAAAAATTGGTGATGAGAACAATAAATTCAAAAACTGAATAACAGATAAAAATATAATGCTGAATCTAATAATCTTTATTATAATTGGTAAGACATGTTTACAGCTTTGTGTAATTCACAAATAAATGTGTTCAAAACATTTAAAACCTAGGGCTCAGAAATCTTTTCCTATTCTAAAGCATTAAAAACTGCATTGGGGATTCGCGCGGCCTGCCCTGAGGCTACAGAAGGCGTGGCGCCTCAGTGAAGCCATTAATTAGCAAGCAGGGAGGGTAGGGACTGCCATCAGGTGGAATCCCACCAGCCAAGCCCACACGGACCCTTAGGTCGAGCACGGGATCTCAGAAGGGGAAGGAAGCAGTACAGTCCCATCCCCCACAGCGGACACTCTACCGAGGCAGTCAGCGGCCACCATCCAGTAAAGCTGAAGGATACACCGCCACTCTCCTTCAGAGTGCAACATCAAAACAGGTTGGTGTCATTCAGCTCACCCCCCAGACAGCTGGAATTCGCATAAAATCTCTCCTAGGCTTGCGGGGAGAGGGAGTATCAAGCTGAGCCTCCATAAAGACTAGGGGGAAACTAGAGACACCTGACCTCCAACCCCTCCTCCCAGTAGCAGCCAAAA